CTAGCATGGTTAACAAGTTACTAGCATGTTGCTAGCATGTTTCTAGCACGATCAGCATGCTACTATCATTTTGCTAGCATGAATAAAAAGTGACTAGCATGTTGCTAGCATGATAATCAAGTTACTAGCATGTCGCTAGCATGTTTCTAGCATGATAAGCAAGTGACTAGCATGTTGCTAGCATGATTAACAAGTTATTAGCATGTCGCTAGTATGTTTCTAGCATGATTAGCAAGTGACTAGCATGTTGCTAGCATCATTAGCAAGTAACTAGCATGTCGCTAGCATTATTAGCAAGTGACTAGCATCTTGCTAGCATGATTAGCAAGTTATTAGCATGTTGCTAGTATCATTAGCAAGTGACCAGCATGTCGCTAGCATGATTAACAATGTCGCTAGCATTATTAGCAAGTGACTAGCATGTCGCTAGCATGATTAACAATGTCGCTAGCATTATTAGCAAGTGACTAGCATGTCGCTAGCATTATTAACAAGTGACTAGCATGTCGCTAGCATTATTAGCAAGTGACTAGCATGTCGCTAGCATGATTAACAAGTGACTAGCATGTTGCTAGCATTATTAGCAAGTGACTAATATGTCGTTAGCATGATTAGCAAGTTACTAGCATGTTGTTTGTACATTTCTAGCATGATTAACATGTTGCTAGGATAGATAGATAGAAATAGTCAGATAGATAGATAGATAGATAGATAGATAGATAGATGGATGAGTTTGAATGGGTTAGAAATGGTACATAGAAAGGAAGTCTGATTGAGTGTAATGGGCTTCATTGTGTTTAGATTTGAATTTTGACGTTTGGAGATTGACGGAATGTTCAGGTGAGCAGAGACTTTTCAATTCAAGTCTATGGGATTTTTATGATTTTTAATATTTCATTTTTATGAAAACCGTAAGTCCGATCAGTTAGAAAAGATATAGAACACCCGGTCAGATGAGTCTGAAGAGCTGGGCTGAGTTTGGAGTCTGTGGAGTTAAAGCTCTAGGAGGAGTAGCAGTCAGAAATTTTTGTCTCAGAAAAAGAATAATAATAATAACTAGATAAAAAAGTTCGTCACGACAAACTTTAAGTTGGCTTGAGAAAGCCGGACCAGAAAGTTTGAAAAAGTTTGAAAAGATTAAAAAGTTTAAGAAGTTTAAAAAGTTTTAAGATTGATGGTTTTCAGCCTGAAATAGTAAAGTTTGAATATTTTGAATGCAATACAGTCTGTCAGAGATGATAAAAAGATAGATAGATAGATAGATAGATAGATAGATAGATAGATAGATAGATGTAGATAGCATGTTGTTAGCATGATTAGCAAGTGACTAGCATGTTGCTAGCATGTTTCTAGCACAATTAGCATGCTACTAGCATTTTGCTAGCATGATTAAAAAGTGACTAGCATGTTGCTAGCATGATTAACAAGTTACTAGCATGTTGCTAGCATCATTATCACGTAACTAGCATGACGCTACTATGATTAGCAAAGTTACTAGCATGTCGCTAGCATGTTTCTAGCACGATTAGCATGCTACTAGCATTTTGCTAGCATGATTAAAAAGTGACTAGCATGTTGCTAGCATTATTAGCAAGCGACTAGTATGTCGTTAGCATGATTAGCAAGTTACTAGCATGTTGTTTGTACGTTTCTAGCATGATTAGCATATCGCTAGGATTGATAGATAGAAATAGTCAGATGATAGATAGATAGATAGATAGATTGATAGAAATAGTCAGATATTTAGATAGGTAGATGGATAGATAGAAATAGTCAGATAGATAGATAGATAGATAGATAGATAGATAGATAGATAAATGAGTTTGAATGGGTTAGAAATAGTACATAGAAAGGAAGTCTGATTGAGTCTAATGGGCTTCAGTGTGTTTAGATTTGAATTTTGACAGTTCAGACGGAATGTTCAGGTGAGCAGAGACTTTTCAATTCAAGTCTATGGGATTTTTATGATTTTTAATATTTAATTTTTATGAAAACCGTAAGTCCGATCAGTTAGAAAAGATATAGCACACCCGGCCAGATCAGTCTGAAGAGCTGGCCTGAGTTTGGAGTCTGTAGAGTTAAAGCTCTAGGAGGAGTAGCAGTCAGAAATTTTTGTCTCAGAAAAAGAATAATAATAATAATAATTAAAGCTGCAAGCAGCGATGAACGGGCCCTCGCACCCGGGCTCACCGCCAGCAGGCGTCTTTAGTAAAACAGCAAACAGCGAGCAATATGCATTTAAAGTGGTAAAT